AAAATAAAAAACGAAAAAATTAAATATTTATCAGATCTTCTGACTTGGCAGTGACGTGGCGCGTTAACCGTTAGTCAACGCGTTTGACCATCCAAGTTAACGGTCAAACATCGTGTTTGGCCAAATTATTTATTTTGGTGTTTAGTTCGAGCCAGGATGTTATAGATCGAAAAGATTGGCTAAGATGTTTATTTGGTCAAAATTCATGTCATTCAAAAATATTAACCCTATTATATACTGTTCCAAGTACTCACCCTTATAATTTATAATATAATATCATTATGGTATATGATACCATAATATTGTGGTGTTAATAATACAGACAGGAGAATAAAATTTAAATCGTTGTCGATTGTTATAAAGGTGAGCAGACATAATCATAACCTTCCTCTTGAAAAAAGGGCCGAATCCTATTGGTCCTTTACGTCCATAACAGCGGCGGATTCATAACAGGTTAGAGCACTAGGGCGCATTTAAAAAGCGGTGTAGAGGGCTGAACCGTAACCCTATAAACATTGAAATATATAACCAAAATCGCAAATTTACAAGTACTATACGAGCTTTGGATTCGGGGAGGGCGGGACCGTGGTCGGGGCTGATCCACAAGCATCTGCATGCACATAGACAAAGGCTCTTACAATCATAATAGCATTAAACCTTGTTGCCCCCCATCTAATTAGGATCAGTGATTAATCACTAAGTGATAATTTATTATGGATTCGGTTTTGTCTCGCATTATTTTGCTTAATGGTTAACCGCTAATTGATTGATTGGTTAGTGGTTAACCAATAAAAAAACTTATAACCGCCTATTAGTATAATCATATAGTTTTGGACTTTTGATTAAGGGGGAAGTTCCAAAATTCAAAACCAATTTAAAACATCTCAATTCTTACCACCCATTGCAAACAACCCTCCACCAAGAATCTTAAATGTGATTAAGAGTCATAACCTAAAAGTCACCACTCTCTAACTCTCCTTTTTCACAGAGCGAACGTTACACCCTAGTGATCTTTTTATCTTTAATGTTTGTGAATGATGATGATCTTGTGGTACTTGTGTTTGATTTCTTGCTAGTTGGTACTCGCTAAATGAAAATAAGTTTCAATGATTTTTTATTTTATGCATTATAATTTGAACTGAAATTATGAAATCACGATAAATATTGTATTGATATGATTTCTAATGTTTATTATATTATATTAACAATGTATACAAGTAGCTAAATTAATATGAATTATTTGTATAATTATTCGCTTTAATATTTAGTGCTCTTGATTATTCTTATGTTTGTGGATTGAAAATGATGTTAAATGACACTTGTTAAACTTAAATGGATGATGATTTGTGTATTGCAAGTGGTTATTGCTTCAGTTTATTATATTTCATGAAAAAAAAATCAAAGCTATTGGTTTGAATAGGTATAGTTAACCATAGTAGTTGGAATGTATATTAGTGGTTATTGGTTAACTGCCAAACTAACTACTGCTAGTTAACCTATAAGACTTATCAATTCAATTACCAATATGCATTTTATGCTTATTAGTTAACTACTAATCGTTTACCAATGAGTTCTTAACCAGAACCGATTTGATTAGCACCCCTAGCCCCATCCATGTAAACCTAGTAGAATTAAAAAAAAAAATTTGGGTCAAGAAGGCGATCCCTTGACTCAGCCCACACCATCCTTAGCTCACCCATCACGACACGGCAAACTAAAAGTCTTACGGAACAACAAGGGATTGAACCCATTTTGTGCCGTGTTGGAATAGAAACTTATTAATAGATGAGATTTTATGAAAAAAGTTTTTTTTCACATTCCTAAGATAAAAGCAATATTTATTTTCGCATTTTGAATTTAACCTAACATGACAAATTCTTATTATTATTCTATATCCCCTTCCTCGTAGCGAGTTATTATCCTTTTTATGAATGATTCGCTAATTAACATATTTTGTCATAAATCAATGCACTTAGTACAAACGGTGTCAAATTTTTATGTTTCCATAAAAACATGTTTCAGCGAATAAGAAAACAATCTTTCTGTCCATCTTTACTAAAGATCCAATAATTATGTCTAGTCAGCACACCATGTCACAAAAAATATTAATAAAAACTAATGAACCAATCGAATTGAACTCAACCCACACGAAGACTATACAATCAACGCTTGACTTGGAGAGCGACGTGTATCAATATTAAGCATGCATGAACAGAAATATATAAACTTTTTTAACATAAATGAAAAAAAAATTAATTCATACAGTTATACGTGTACTTGCCGAACACCGACCGCTACAAATAGGCAACGTTTTTTGGTCACCGACTAACCGGATGGTTTCGGTTAAAACCGACGGTTAGCCGGTAACCTGAAACCGTTTTGCCAGCCCTAATTCTAGGTAGATGGAGAGAGTGAGAAATCTTACTTTAGCAGGAGAGAGTTTTGTTTCACCGTGGAGGAGACCGGTACATCATACGTTTACTCTCGCCGGTTTCACGTATATCCCATCATCATACACTCCTTATACAATAAACACTCGTTTGCGCATCCCCGAATGAAACGTAACTAAGAAATCTCCATCTCCGATTTCTCCTCCCCTTTCTCTTCACCCTTTCCCTGGCCTAACAGCTGGATGATTTAATGTCAAAGCCTAGCTACACAGCTGGATGATTTAATCTGCCTCCTCAGTGAGATTTCGTTCCCCTCTACTGATTTTCTGAAGCTGAAGATGCTCATTTCAAGATCAGGAACTATCACAACTTCAATGCTTGCCTACCTACCAAACAGATGGGTTTTATTGCTGCCTACCAGATCTGCAGAACAGAAGGGAAGGAAGAATGATTACTCTGGGCACAGAAGGTTTAATGCTACCAAGTGAGATAGTAGTCTCTTCAAACCCCCATTACAGAGGAGCAGAGCTTACCTGGAGCCGCTCAATGGTCAAATCATATTCAAGACGAACACATCCCATAGAAATGCTTTAATTCTTCACCAATCTAGAAGAACTACTACGCTTAGAAACATTAAAGAAGGGGGAAGACGCAATAGAAAGTCTATATTAGAAACCCAAACTATGGCTATCATCATACTTTTTCAACTCTGGCCTGCAGGAAAGTTTCCTACTTACCCAAAAAGAAAGACCAAGATCAATATCATGAGTGTCAACGATCTTATAAACCAAACTGGGGATTGGGATCTGGAAATGGTTCCAGATGAGAGTAGGATAGCTAGTCGAAACACACTTGTTGGGAAAATCTTCTCGGAAAGGAAGATCAGCCTAAGGGCCATAAGAGGAATGGTCCGAACTTCCTGGGTAGATTCAACCAAACCCAAGGTCCAAGAGATGCCTGGAATCCAGCCAACGGAGGAGGAAAACATATTCATATTCGACTTCGAGAAAAAGGAAGAGATGGAAGCTCTATGGAGAGAAATACCATGCCCAATCTGAGTAACTCTGCTGCAGCTCAAGAAGGTGACGGGCTATGAAAATTCCCAGGACATCAGCTTCAAGATTGTCGACTTCTAGATCCAAGTTCATAATCTCCCGGAGGCCTACAGGACAGAAGGAAACCTCTCAATGGTCAACAGGATGTTCCATAGCATCATTGATATGGATAGAGAGGCTTTACAAGCCCAGATCTACAGGCGCTATGTTAGAATCTTTGTAGAAGTTGATACATCCAGGGCACTACCAGATGGTTTCTACATCAGATACCAGCAAAAACGCATCTGGATTGAGTTTAAATATGAGAGACTCTTCTCCGTCTGCTATTTCTGTGGGAAGATTGACCACACAAAGATTGATTGTGTCCTACTGAAAGAATTTGAAGAGACTCACCAGCCCTTCCCGCTGATCCAAAAATGGGGGCCATGGACCAGAGCAAGCTCTCCTATCTTCTCCCCGAGGACTAATCAGCAAGTTGAAGTTGAAGCAGCCGTCAGCCGAGACGCCGGGTCGTCGACGAACTCGCCGGGGCTGCAGCAGTTTCGTGCGCCGATGAGCCACGCTCAGACTGCCGGTCAAACTCCGGGCCCACATCTCTCGATTTTCTCGCCTAGATTCAACCTCACTCCAAAATCGGGTACTGCTCAGAACTTCCCGTTCCCAACGGATCTATCCCTACCTCTCTTTTCCCCTTTACCCCATTTCCAATCTCCTCAATTCCAAAGTCTCGATTTGACCTCCCCTGCACCTTTTGGGACGAATGTGGTCAGAAACTTGTTCAGAAGCAACGAGGAAACCCAACACCAAAACCTAGTTGCCAACATACCAGACAAATCCTTCTCTCCTCCGGGGTACAATAACCAAAACTCTTTCTCTCCTTCGGGCTACAATAACCCAACCCAAAGCCCATATCTCGTCCCGGCCCAAACAAACTACTTCGTCAACCACAACTACTTTCAGCCGGGCCTCATCTCACCTCATAACCAGACTAGAAGCCCAGCCTGTGGTCATACCTCAAGGGTTAAAAACGCCAGCCCGGTTGCTCAAAAGAAGAAGAGGAAGGCTGACCTGCCTTTGCCTATCGAGAATGCAGATCATGCTAGCTCTCACTCTGCCTTGCTCGGAGCTGAAACAGGGAATGACATTCCAATTGAAGATGTTGAATTTCCCCCAGGGTTTGAACCAAAAAATTCTGTGGTTCTGGTGGCCGATTCCAAGCCACCCGGTGCACCATGAATGCCATAGTGTGGAACTGTCAGGGATTCGGGCAGACCCCAACAGTTCGTCAGTTAAGAAAAATGGTTAAAAAATACCATCCGTCCTTTGTTTTTATGTTGAAGACCAAGTAGAAGGATTCATATATGGAGTGTAAGAGAAAGAACATGAAGTTTGCAGAGAAGCAATATGTTAGTCCCATTGATAGAGCGGGTGGTCTTGCGCTTTGGTGGGTTTCAAACCTCCCCATCAAAGTTCTTGATTGTAATAGGTTCTTCATTGATGTATTTGTAGATTTTAATGGGGGTTTTTTTTATCACTTTTGTCGGCATCTGATCTAATGTCTAGGAGAGCCTTTTGGGATCAGATTAGTAGCCTTAGGGATAGTATTGAAGACAAGTGGTTGGTTGTAGGGGATCTTAATGTTGTCTTGTTCACTGATGAGAAGAAAGGAGGGGGACCTCCTAGAAACGAATCAGTGATCCCTTTCAAAGCTTTTGTTGAAGACAATGCATTAATGGACCTGGGATTTAAAGGCTACCCTAACACTTGGTCGAATAATCAGGAAGGCCTCAGAAGAAGAGAAGTTCGACTGGACAGAGCACTCTGCTCTATGACTTGGTTTGGCCTCTTTAGTAATGCCACCATCTATCATGAACTTCCTATTGAATCAGACCACAGCCCATTGCGCGTGGATCTTGAGGGGTCAATGTTGAAGTCAAAACCGCCCTTTCGGTTTGACATTAGATGGTTACAACATGAAGAGTTTCATGACATTGTCAACCATAATTGGGATTTTGATAACCAATCACAAGACATCTTACGCAAGTGTGAAGAGGAGCTGAGAGAATGGGCTAAGCAAGTCTATAATAATCAAAACAAAAGGTCGGTTGATATTCAGAAAAGGCTTGAAGAAATCATGTGTTGTGACCGATCCCAAGAGATTATTCTAGAGGAAAAGAATCTCATGAATGAGTTGGCTGCGATATGGAAAGATGCGGAGCTCTTCTGGAGCCAAAGATCAAGAGTCAGCTTTCTCAAAGAAGGAGACCAAAACACTAGTTTTTTTCATGCTTCAACTGTGCACCGAAAACAGAGGAATAAAATTAGTTCGCTCAAGGACGAGGAGGGAGCCATCATCACAAATCCGGACGAGCTCACGGATCATGTGACAACATTTTATCAGACACTCTTCACTCGAGCGGAGAGGATTGATAGTTCAGCTTTGCAAGATTTTCCTAAACTTGTCACAAATGAAATTAATGAAGCATTGGTTCTTATCCCAACCAACGAAGAGATCAAGCAAGCTGTCTTTGACTTAGGATCAACAAAATCACCCGACCCTGATGGATTTGCTGGGTTGTTCTTCCGCCGTTTTTGGACTAAAATTGGCCCTCGGTTCTGTAAGGAAGTTCAGGTTTTCTTCCAAACCTCGATAATGCCTCAAGGGTGGAACGACACACATATTGCTCTGATCCCCAAAGTACTTTCACCGGAATCAATTAAGCAATTCAGACCAATTAGCTGTTGCAATTTCCGGTATAAAGTGTTGTCCAAGATAATGTCAAATCGAATAAAAAGGTGGCTGCCGGGTCTTGTTTCTGAATCCCAAGCTGCTTTTACTGGGGGAAGGCTTATCCAAGACAATATTATCATTGTTCATGAAGTTCTACACCATTTTAAGACTCGCCGGAGCGGGAATTGGGATATGATGGTTAAGCTGGATATGAGTAAAGCTTACGATTTAGTCGACTAGGAGTGCCTGGATGAAATCCTTAAGACGTATGGTTTCTCAGATATTTAGAGAGGCTGGATTAAGGAGTGTGTACGAACGATCAAGTTCTCTATCCTGATGAACGACACTCCAACTGAACCTTTTTTTCCCTCAAGAGGAATTCGACAAGGGGATCCTATTTCTCCCTTTCTTTTCATCCTAATGTCTAACGCCTTATCCTTTTTGATTGAGAAAGGAGTTTCCAGAGGAGATATCAGAGGGGTTAAGCTCAATCAGAACTGTCCAACAATCTCTCACTGCTTGTTCGCGGATGATACGGTGATCTTTGGCAGAGCAAGTATTTCCGAGGTGGACCATATCCAGAAAATTTTGAAGCATTATGGACAGGTTACGGGTCAAGAGATCAATGTGGAATAATCATCTATTTTCTTCAGTCACAATACCCCGGAAGCCCTCAAATTACTGGTGGTGAACAAGTTTGGCTTTCCACAAGCTATCTCTCACGACAAGTACCTTGGTGTTCCAACTGATTGGGGTAATTCAAAGATGGAAACCTTCATGTTTCTGTTGGAAAGAATGGAAAAAAGGGGAGAGTCATGGAAAAGTCTTCTCTTGTCTCCGGGAGGGAAAGAAGTGCTTTTAAAGGCGGTAATTCAAGCCATCCCGGCCTTTATCATGAGTGTGTTCATGATTCCCCTCTCCTTAACCAAAAGAATGGATGCGATTCTTCGTCGCTTCTTTTGGTCTGGTTCCATGAAGAAGAGATCAATCCATTGGTGTGATGCTAAAGTTCTCGAAAGACCAAAGGAAGAAGGGGGTTTGGGATTCAAGAACTTCCATTTGTTCAACATTGCCCTTCTTGGGAAACAAGTTTGGCGAATGCTCGTCAACCCGGAAGCCCTCTGGGTGCGCCTTCTCAAAGGTCATTACTTTGCCAATGGGAACCTCTTCTCGGCTTCTAAAGGCAGCAGAGGTTCCTGGATTTGGAATGGAATTTGTGATACTAAGGACAAGCTGAAGATTGGCTGGGTGAGAGGCATCATGTCCTGGGAGGGAACCAACTTCCACAATGACCCTTGGGTTCCATCTCTCCCATCTTCGTCCCTTTCGAGCTTGGGACTGCCTCCTTCCAGAGTTTGTGAATGGATTTCCCCTACAGATGGAAAGTGGAATTTAGAAGCACTTATGGCCACTGTCCCTGAAGAAGCTGCTCTTGCTATTCTGCGAGTCCCGATTGGACCTCCCAACTCTTTGGATAGATGGTTTTGGAGATTCACAAATACAGGAGACTATTCGGTTAAGTCAGCGTACAGGGCTCTCCGTCAAGAACGAGATATCTCTGTTCCGCCAGTGTCAGGTTTGTTGCCTCGTCCTAGCAATGATGATTGGAGGTGGTTATGGTCACTTTCACTCCCACCTAAGATCCGGTTCTTCATATGGAAATGTGCCAAGGGAGCTTTGGCTACTCAATCAAGACTGTTCTCCCGGAATTGTGCTACAAATCCAAGTTGTCCAGTCTGCGATGGGCCAAGTGAAACTATTCTCCATTGCCTCTTCTACTGCCAGCATGCGGCAGCAGCTTGGGAGACGACCGGGCTTCTCCCCTCCCTCCCTAGCAACGACTCGACACTCTCCTATTGGTTCTTCGGCCTCAATAATGGATCTTTTCCGGTTGAGAGAATTCGAAAAATTGCTTGGTGTCTGTGGAATATTTGGTTGGCTCGAAATGGCTTTGTATTTGAGGCTACGGTTCCTTCCCCGACCAGTGTGGCAATCAAGTCTGAGCGTGATTTTCTTTGCTTTGAGGAAGCTCGAACAAGTTCTTCATCATCCTTCCGGCCAGCTCATTTGCCACCTCAGCCTAGGGGATCCCGTTCTCACCCCTCACCACCGCCTGTTTCTTTTCAGATGTTTGTTCACTGTGATGGTTCCTTCGTTTCAGATTCACAGGTGGCGGCGTATGGGATTACTATTGCTAATTCCCATGGTCAGGTGTTTGACGGAAAGACTGAGACTTTCTTTTGTTCCTATCCGATTCAAGTGGAAGCTCTTGCTCTTCTCAACACAGTCCAGGCTGCGGCACAAGAGATCTGCCCTTCTAATGTTTTTTCAGACTGTCAGGTCCTGACAAGTGCTTTGAGGAAGCCTCCTGATCTCTGGCCGTGGCATTGTCGGACGACCTTGGCAAGAATCATTTCCGTCCTCCATGAAGCCCCTTGGATCAAAGTGGATTTTGTGCCGCGACGTCTTAATGGTTTGGCGGACTGGGTGGCTCGAAATGCTCGTGTCAATTCGCTACCTTTGGATTGGATTGTTGTTGCTGATTTGATCTCTCCACTTCTGTAATCTATTGCTTCCTTTGTTTCGGATTGGAATAAAAGTCCTATCTTTCAAAAAAAAAAAATACTCTTGGCGGTTTCTGTCCTTCAAATGCTCGGAACAATTGGAATGGGAGGTCGATAGACTGTGCCCTCTATATATCGGCATTGGCCCTGTTTATAGCGAGGTAGGAATGATCCCTTCCCAATGTTGTTATGCCCAGCTGCACCCACGCTCGCACATTATTATACGAGCCCGAGAAGTGGTAGTTGCATTTCTTGAATCTTAATTGTTAGCCCCATTGCACCTTGTGATCAATACCTAAAAAACTTAGACATTGATTGTTCCCTTTTATTTGTGGTAGATGTTGCTATATCTATGCCAATCTGTTTTTCACTATCTTCAGATACGGCCTGCCAAATGGCGGATTCTGCATGTACCAAGGGGTTGGAATTTTGGCAAACTGCTGCTGGAGAAGGAGCTAATCTTTGGCATTGTAAGCTGTCCACATCTGTGGCAACTTTGTGTGTCAGCAAAATAATATTGTGGCCTTTGATTTTGTCTAATCTGTAAGATGATGCAAAGCAATTTCCAAATTTTTCTTAAGGGATATCAAAGCGTACAACCATGTCAGATATTGCTGCAAGGGACATGATGTTTGCCCGGACTGCTGGCCCCTTATCACAGCTGCTATCAAAGTTATCGACATGTCACTCAGAGGTTGACTAGTGAAGAGAGAGCTGCTATTGTTTTTCTCTTAAAAATTGCAAGGTCTGCTACTTTGAAGTTATGAAGGACATATTCGAGAGAAAACTGCTCCCTAGTCTGCAAGTTTTTTCAACCGAGGACAGATGCGAGAAGATTTTTGGGATCATTCCAGATGAATGTACTGAAATTTCTTATGTTTCCTTTTGGTTTATGGTAATCAATGTCTCTGATTATAGATATTTGTGTAACTACTGCTGTTCCACACAGCTGCAAGAGCTGAGATCAGAAGGAGATGGCAGAATAGTGGACGCTCCTCTTGTTCAGAACTCGACATTAATCTTGTTCTATGGGAGCAGCTGAAGTACACTCTCCAATCTGGAAGCTGTAAGGTACACACTGATGATTCGTATTACAGTTGTCATCTTTGATTACGGTGGGATCACAACTGTGTAAGGTGAAGATTCAGCAGACGATTTATTTGATAAGGCTCTTATGTTCTTGTTTCAGGCACAAGGCCTACATAGGTACATTGAAGAAATTGTGCTCTCTTTTACCAATCCCAGGCTTGATATGATGGTTGGTTGCGGCCATCGCCTTTGTATCTTTCTGAATCTATACATTGTCATTACCTTACTGTTCAGGTTTTGCTTTTCTGATTCTATAAAGAACAAATGCTAAATCCCCTGTACATTTTGCTTTCCTTTGCAGGCCTCCAGACAGATGGACTACTTGTTGATGACACCGTTTTGTGTGCATCCAATTACTGGTAAGCACCAGAGTAGAATATGAATTTGGTTGCACCTCTTTTTTCAGATAATGGCGATACATTATAAATAGCAAAGAACAAGTACAGAGTACGAAAAAGAAAACGAAAACTAGGGCTTAGTTTTGCTAGATTGAATTGCACCGGAACGTGGAGATATGAACCAGTGCATTGTTATGAGATGAAGTATTTGCATGGATCACTCCGTTTGCAAATTTGAAGTGCCATGCATTGCATCTTTTTGAACAAGGTACAATCAAGCTTACTTATGTTGGGTCTTGTTTATTTCTCCAGCTCGTGTCTGTGTGCCAATAGATCCAGTCCATTGCGATGAATTTGATCCCAGGACAGTGCCTACACTTGCCAAGGTATTATAATCTCATCGAGCAATGTGTTCTGCCCCTCCCATCTTACTGCTTCAAGCTCTCTCTTTCAACACAAGCAAGTTTTCCTACCCGGCTGGATATTTGTTAGACAGCTAATCCATTTTTTGCAGCTGCTACGAGAACTTAAACTGCGGGATATGGACGAGGAATGGGAGGATTATGGTATACGCCACTTGGTTGTGAAGTTTACACATTTTTGCCCTTTAAAACCCTAGCATGCTTACTTTTCTATCCTAATTGATACAATTTAGATGCCAACTCGATGGTTGAACTGTGACCAGAAATGGACAAATCTGTTTCACTTTCAGTGGCATCTATGGACTAATAATTACATTTCTTGTGAACAGATTTCTTCAGTACATCACATGGCAAATATCTGAGTTTTTTCAGATCGTCGTTCTTGGAACCTCTTCTAAAATCTTGCAAGGTACTCTCTCTGGTTATATGGGATAAATGTCCTTTAAGTTAGTGAGTCTCGTCGAACATTATTGAAGAGAGAAGTTTGGAACTCTTTCAAGGAAATTCGTTAAATTATTGCAGGAGGAGATGGAGAATGCATTCACTTATGCATTGCAGGAGATGAGTAACTCACAGCCAACCCCTCTTGACCTCTTCTTCTTCCATCTCTTTTGGTTCCGTGAAGATTATGAGGCAAGGAGTTAAAGTTGGAATAGAATTCGGTATCCAAGTTGTTTATGTTTGTAAAGGATGGAAGTGGGTACAAATTGAGGGGACGATTTACTACTCTCTTTCACGTTTGTCATTTGGAATTTTTTTCTACTATAACAATCATTAGGTTTTGCACATTTGTTTTATTACTTTTGCTATCCAACTCTGTTAAGTTTGTTATATGTGATACACTCTCACATTGCAGATTCTATTCAATTTATTATAATAGATATTGTCCTCGCTGTTCGCGGGTTCGCGGCTAGTTGAAGATAGGGGCTTCAGATACGAATACGATGCATAACTATGGGTTATGCACCCATCAGTAACTGAATTTGAATTCTTGATTTATAAAATTTAGATCTAAGTGTGGAGAATTAAAGAGAATTTTATTTTCCATTTTTTTAATAACCTCATATCTTCTTCGTTTTAACTCTATTTAAAAAAAAAATTGCACAGATAGAACGAGTTCGTTGTGCTCTACAAAATGAGATCCATTTTTAATATTTATTGAGAAAAATATTGATTGCCTCTCGTTACCAACTGAATATCATATGGTATCTTCTTCATTTTTAAGTCGTTTTTTAAAATTTTTGCACAAAAGGAACGAGTTCATCATGATCTATAGGATCTATAAATTTCTGAGTGATATCTTGTGACACACAATTTTAAAAGTCGTAAGTGACAATTAGTATGCTCCTATTATTATGTATTCAACTATTCTACAGTCTTGGTATTTTCATACCATATGATATGCTCTTATTTCGATACCAGTCAATACCATATGATAGACTGGTAAAAAATGGCTCAATTTTTTTGTTCCTAAAATATATCAAAGTGGATATCATTTTGAAGAGCACAATTAATCAGATCTAACATTGGGAAAAAATAAAATTAGATTTCGACTTAAAACGATCGTCCGTTAAAGATTAAGGGGAAAAATTAAAGATTTTCCAAGAGAGAAGGAGTGTTGACGTGGCAGATGGTGATTGTATTATGCATGGTTACTTACCACAAGGTTACTGACTGGATCCGTTTTCGAAGATAGGATGGTAAATGTATTGTTATGAAATTAGTAAAATATATTCCCTGCGACATAATTTCAAGAACTATAAGAAAAATCACTAAAAGCTCGTTTGGAGAATATGAGTTTAAATCTATAGATTGTCAACAATCTAAAGATTTGAGTCAGGTGGGTACCCGTGGGTTCGGGTTTTATTGCCATCCCTAACCACGAGATGGGATGGCATGCCCCCCTAGCGGCTTAGATTGAACAATGTTGTGAAATTTGTCATTTTTAAGATATCACACTTGCTCTCCAAATTTTTTGAAACTTATTATAAACACGTTTAAATTTTGTCCTTTGTTGTGGCTTTCGCAAGACAGCTCTAACTATCATGTCGTTCAAAACAATAGTTTTCACAGGAGAACCAACATGAGATTTGTTGGTCCCTATCGACACTGTTTTAGTCACAGGTTTAAGTGAATCCTTGTTGGAAATACCAGAAACATGTTCATCTATCATCTCAAAAAATTTATCCATATGTCTTCCAAGAGAACCACAAGGCTTATTTAAAGAGATAAAATAGAGATTTACCTGCCGGTAATAATCCTCTACATATCGACGAAGAGACAGGAATGCAGCATGCCCATCGGAGCCACTCCTTCATCGAGCCGATATGTCTATCCGCCTCATTTGCTCGGCCAACTTCAATGTAGGCCACACTCCACCTTCACAGATTCTTGTGGAAGATCAACGTTGTGTTTTCCATGCCGCAGAGCCATATTTCACATCAAAACCTATGTGTACCACCAGGTGTGCCAAATTGTTTGGACGCGAAACCAAATAGCCACCACCGGTGCCGAATTCATTTCCGATGATTTTTATTTGATTGTTTCACTGTTGAAACTCTTGCGGCACCGTTTGATCAGATGCAACACTGATTGCTGAAATCAAGACGATCGTCAAATATCCACCGGGCAGTGTTGATTTGATTGGTGCAACACTGAGTTCTGAAAAATGAAGGTGATCGTCAAATATCCACCAGGCGATGTTGATTTGATCGATGCACCTCTGACTTCTAACCAACGCTATCGTTACTACGATTCACACCTCTCCAAACAATGTTCGAACGAGGGTGTTTGAGTTTTTAGGAATCTATGTTACAACTACTCCTATGGATATTCCTGTGGAGAGCTCCGCAACTACGACTAAGACTACAACTATGGAGCTCCTTCCTAGAAGGAGAGCTCCGCAGGGGAGTTACAGAGAAAAAAGATAAAGTCTTGACAGAGTTGTTCTGTGTTGATTTTTGGTTTTCCCTCTCTCTCCTTGCTCAGGCGATTTTATTTGAAATCACTTTCGTAGTCTTCACGCTCCGTGGAACTGCTTCCTCAACTACTCCGTCATGAACTCCCACGTGTCTTTACTCTTCTCCGCGGGGTCGTAGTCTTCAACGGCTTTGATCTTCTATTCACTCCCGAATCTCATGTGCAAGAAAATAACTCAGTTATTTTCATGAGCCCGCAACGTCGTTTACGCCTCCAAGAACAAAGTTTCCATAACAACGTTGTTGAACCTATTCGCGACATTGCTCAGCTTGCAACACCGTCAAACTCACGGTATCGAACTTCGCAATGTTGTTTTGATCGCAGCGTTGTTAGCATCACGCAGTGTCGTTTTTAGCTAAACAACACCGCTTAATTCTACCCGCAACATCATTTTAATATTAAACGATTCTATTACCAGTCTCGCGGAGTTTTTGGGATTACAACAATGTTGTCGACCGCCGCCACGTCATTAAGTTCCCCGCAACTTTGTTTGTCACTAAACGGTGTCGTTTCTCTGCTCTTTCAACATTGTCAAGGTCGTAGTTAAGATACAACCTTGGTCGTATCTTCTCCTTCTCCGGTAAGGAATACAAAGCACTCATTTTCCAACCCCAACACTGACATTGTTTTCTAGAAAACAATGTCGTTTCAACTTCTACGGTATTATTAGGCTATCTCCATCTTAGCGGTTCTGTTTTAACTCTCTACAACATTGGTTGGTACTAAACGCCGTTTATATTAAATGCCAAGACTCTTTCGTGCATTTAATTTAGTCTAAATTAATTTTAGGTGTCAACAGGTTTATACATTTCTCATATTGACTCTACTAGCCTACTCACCTTTTCCCCTTTTTTTATAACCCAGGAACATCCCCACGTACACAACACTTGAGCAATGTTGGAGCAAGACCAAACATAAGGGTTCATCTGTTTGAGCTATTTGGGCCCTCCACATGGATCTCCATGAAATGCCTCCGGGAACACCATAACGGGCCTCGGTGGGGATCGATCACGGGATCTCCCACTTTCCAAAACGAGCGCCCACTAATGGTTTCAATACTAGGCTATGTGAGATTTGACATTCACCTCTTTCCCTTACTCTCTACTGATGTTTTATTCCCTACTTTCACAAAAAGCTTATTTTTGTTGCTAAATTATAACAAATTAATTTGTCTAGGTTGAATTTTTTGTTGATTGTTTTGTTGTGAAGGTGCTAAACATATGCAAAGCACTACTGATTGATGCAGCAAACATGCAAGTGATAAAGTCAGGATGCTGTAAGATCGTATTCGATATTCCACAAGGTTTTCACTCACACCACACCATCCATGCTCAAGCTAGAATAAGAAAGACTTTTAGGGGTTTTATTCGAGTAAAGCACTCAAGCAATGAAAAGTAAAAGTTGTTTGTGGGAGGTTTCAAGTTATATAGATGCATAAAAGTACATATACATTACTAAATAGAAAATGATACTCAATTTCAACACATATATCAATATTCATTCATATAATGCATAAATGACTCATCCATAGCATCACTTTATCCCTATTACTAAGGCCATCCTACTCGAGCTTTCGCCAGAGGCAACAAGAACTTGAGTAGCTAATGCGTGCTTTCGGTTCATCCCATCACCTAATCATTGAAGAACATAGAAATGAGGATAGCAAATGATTAAGTGTGTGCCTCTTGTGCCATAATCGATGGTTGAAAGCATCGATAATCTAACAATCAAGCATTAATACTACTCGAGGTATAGATGTTTGATCATTCCCAAGCAACCCTAGGATTGATTTTATAAGATTTATACATTTTGGTAGCATTTTGTGCATTTTCAGGTCAAAACAACCTAGTGGACAATTTGGTAGCCGTAGGAGACATCGAGATCCTATTGTTGGAGTTAGGATACGAAGAGAGGACGCACTTAAAGAACGGCTCCCAAAACAGCACACCATGGTGTGAAACCATGCCTTAGCTGCCGTTTTACGAAGCTCAATACTTTGTCAGAAAGTCACCTTGGAGGCTCTTGATCACTGGCCACATGTTTGGAGCCTTTTGATTGGTTTGATCATTGATGACGCTGGAGCTATGCGATTTCCTCCTTAGAAAGTCTAATCAAAGAACTATATATACGTCTCTAGAGACAGGACTTGGAGAAAGAGATGAGAGGTCAAGGAATGGTCGTTACTCTACAGATAGAGCAACCCTCTTGACTTTGAGCGACACCAACCGTCGAGGGAGGATTGACATCAGGAACGGCAGCTTGGGCCCCATTTTCTATGCTGGTGGCTTCAATTCTTGTGGGCTTCTGTGGTCTTTGTCACAATCGATGAATACCCAAGAACCCCTCACCATGGTTAACTAGTTCCTTAGTTGCGTAGGTATGTGAACCCTGGGGGTTCTAACCATGTAAAACTCGATGTTCGGTTTAATACAATAGTTTTTATTAATAAGTGTTGATGTTTGATGTTCTCTATTTTGTTATTTGTCAATTCGAATGACTGCTTAGTCGACCTTGCATATCTTCTAGGTTCAAGTATGAAAATCCAAGTCGTTTAGGATTATGACTAGAAATGGTGGTCATATTCGATAGAACGTCCTTCAATGGAATGACGTTACCCCTGAACGAAGAAATCAGAAGGGTCCTTGTCATCAATTAGTTCAGGTAAT